CTTCATATATTTTCAGAAAAATATTTCAAGCGACAAAATATTATACAGTATTCTATTTACCGCCCAGTCATTCAAGATCAGTTTGTCAATCCAAGGGACTCTTTGAGGCACCATTTTATTGTCTTGTATTGTAAATTTACGGCTAGATTAAACTTGTAGGGATGCTCTATTGGGTATATGGGGGTTGGGGGGAGGGTAATTGTACAGCGTGGAAAAAAAAGTAATAAATTCATTTCGTGAAATATAAATGTAGTCTTGATTTTTGACTCCTGTGTGCGAATAGAAGTCTTTGCGGTTAGTGCATCTTTCTGTCTGTCTGTGTGTGCATCTGTTCCTCTGATATCTCATGAACCAATTATCACGGTACATAGATGCACTGGGATAATGCTCAGGCCTGATTAGTTTTTAGTTGAAATCTGTGCATATTAATTTCAATGAAACTTGATACATATACGTGTAGATGCTTGGCATTAGGCCATTTTAAATTTTTAAATACTGTGCTTTGTGTAAAAATATAGGACAAAGACAAGTCTATGGTCAAAATGAGGCGTACTTCAATGATTTTGCATGCAATGAACAGTTTTTGCTTCAGTGTATTGAAGATGTGTTTTTATACAGTATTTGTACTTCATGCCTCAAATACCTTCAGCACACAGCAGTTCTTTCTAAGCTTTCTTAGATTTTTTTTTACTTGCTAATCTTGTTCAAAATCACAAAATATGATAAACTGAACTAACAAAAAGGTCTATGCATATAACGTACAATCTTATGTCTACCAGGTATATACACTGTTAGGCGGTGCTAGTACATCTATTTTTAGACTTTATGAGTTTAATTATCAAACAGGAGTGTTGTACCTTGCCTGTATTGTACCCGTACATTGAGGAAGAGATGGAGTCGTAGTCTTTTTTTTTTTCTGAATATTATTTACAAACCAGGATTTAAAATACACCAAGGGTTTGTGGGATGCATATTCTTTAAACTTGTCATTTTACAAGAAATGGCAACCAGTCCAGCATGTTTAAATTTACAGGAATATGATAACGCCCTCTGTGGTGAGTTTTTTAATCAGTTTGACGTGACTACAGAGGGTGCTCAACACATTTAATTACTGGTACACATTCACAGTTCTTATATGAACACGTGCCCAATATACCGGTAATAATTTTAATTTTAGGTGCTTGTAGATTCAGCATCTAGTGCGGATCTCGCAATTTTTTTATTTGCAGGCACTGGACCTTTATGCCGGTCATTGGCTTTTGGGCTACTAGTATTTCATTCTATGATTACTCATGTTCGATTACTGAATATTCCAAAAGGTCAGCAACACTCGTGCACACGTGTACTACATTCACACATTCCGTGACAAGTGTTTTACCTTTTACAGCATATTCAATTTGAAAACAGGGGCATGGTTACTTTTTCATTACAAATTTGATGCAAAATAATTTACAGGACTCGCCGAAGGCCTTCAAAAGTATGGACATTTCTTTGATATAAAGTCGTATCCACAATAAAATGTCTCAACATTTTATCTTGAGTTGGATTTCACATGTCAAAAGAGTCATCCTAGCTGTACTTATAATCCCCTGATTAAACAATGTACATATTTGTTGATTTAGACTTACAGAAGCTCCTCCTACCATAATGCTAGACAGGTTACTGATAGTAACCCATGCAATGTTGTGCTTTTAAGGTCAATGGTTCATATTTCTCCAAAAATGTAATACTAGTATAATTTTTAAGCACTGTTGTGGGATTGTTTTAAGTCTACGTGGCCACTGTCTGACAACCTCCCAGTTATACATGTCCAATTTACTGGCATAAATATTCCATTTACACTCGTACACTTGTGCATCATACACTGTGTTCTGACTAGATGATGGACCTAGGAGAAAAGCTATCATGTCTCCAATCAGTGTACAGACAACACCTCAGACAAGAGACCCAGTAAACTTGTATATTTCACGGTTACAAGAAATAAAACCAGTCCATATTTCGGCAAATCACAAGGATGAATATCACAGTATTGATTGTATGCCAGATGTATAATGATTACTTGAACATTGCTCAAGATTAGGTTGAGTTAGATTCAAGGGCAGAGACGGGAAAATAGTAGTCCTTTGTGAATAAATCCTGTTTAATATGCGACAGTGTAAAAACTATTTGTAGTAAGCAGGTTTTCTGTATTTGCTTATGCACCTAAAACTTTGAGAGACATTCGGTATGCACCCTTGGTGTAGCAGGGATATTCTGTATCTTTTTAATTAATGGTTTTGTGAAGGAAACAATACATTCTAATGTTAGAACTTTGCATACTCTTAGGGTTTTATTTTAGCACATTTAGGGAAAAATAAAACCCAGCTAATAATAGAGCAGGAAGAATTTTCAAAACGAGTTGTACATGAGATGACATTTTTTTTAACCAGCAGATTGAGATTGGTAAAGTGTTGTGCAATTAGTATGTGTGAAAATAAACCCTGTCAGACCACAAGTCAATGTTAAGATCAAGAACAGTCTTTCTATCATCCTCTATTATAGAGTGATTGTGTATCAAACATTGTGACAAGAAAATATTCTAAGTGACAAAAAATTTAATTCAAATAAACAATGAATTGATACAGATTGGTTTTGCAAAGGTAACATTTGCAAGTTCAATTTACTTGAATAAATTTACCTACATCAGCTCAAAATCAAATGTGTCTGGATTGAATTCAGTTTAAAAAGCAAGATAAAAATAACACCACTCATTGAAAACTCATCTCTTAGTTTGAATATTGTTTTATTAACCAAAGCATATTAATGAAATTACCATCATATCAAATGAAATGAATACACAAGAGTTAAGCAAATATTAACATACTGTCTGGTATAGATAATTAAATAATTACATGACATTTGTATGAAAACAGAAACGTGTGGTTCAAAAACAGAGGTTCCAACACAAACTAAGAAAAGATCTCAGGATCTCTTGAAGCAATTCATTTTTCAGCGAAAATTTACAAATATAAGAAACCTCTGATCGAACCGTAAGGATCAACCAAACAGTGATACATTATTCAATACCACAGATATACTTAATCTCAGGTAGATGAGAAATTAAAAGAAGAATAAAATGAGAATGCTGACCTGCATCAAGCAGGTGTTCACTCTTGCAGTATAGCATCCGCAAACTGAGTTAACATACAATAACTATTTTTGTTTTAACTATCACTTGTTGTAGACCAGCTAGCTCTGTGCAAGTTAACTCACTAGATCTCACTGGTTATTTACACTGCATATCTAAACATTGGGCAGCCAGTGAAAACACAAACATAGCATTCTTCCAATATACCATTCACAGGGTGTTCAGCTGCATTAGATACTCTGAGGATATCTTAAGAACTTGTACGAAGTTGTTGGGTATGATCACCCAGCAATTTCACACAAAGCATGGTACAAATGGGTGTTGATTTGAGTGATTATATCATAACTACATTATCATACTCAGATATGATGCAACATAGAACCCTTGCAAATAGTCTACTTTCTATAAGTAACTGACCTATTCCTGTAAAATTTAACGTAAAGATTCGTGTAAATGGAATGTGTTATTTTGACTTTGAATAATAATTACAGTATGTATACATATTTATAAGAAAGCTTTAACAGTCTCCCCTACCCTTCCCAAAAGATGAAAATCACACCAAACATAAACAAGCAATCAATAGTAAACTTGTTTCCATCTTGCTAAGAATAACTAATAAAAAAAGAAAACAACTACATCTGATTCATTTGCTAAAACACTTCAAGGTGACATGATGGTTTCCATAAAAAACAAATTATTTGCCACTTCTCTCTCTCTTGTGGTAATTCTGAATTTTTGTTTTCTTCTTAAACACATCACTGCTAGAAGCCTCAGCATCAGAAGACGATGTGTTAATGTAAATACAAATTTTAATTTCCTGTTTATATTTGGAAACCGTCTGCTATCGTTTAGCATTGGTGTGTAGCCTCCAAAATAAATACAGTAGCATCACTAATTATGGTTTAATTCAACATACCCCGGTACTACAAGTCTGTCTAAGATAACCACAACAAATTTGACAGCTTGCAATGGGTGAAACTTTTAAGTATCAGGTCAGGTGTAATTTATCCAGAATACTGAGTACATAGTTTGTTATGTTTGGTTGAAACAAAAGACATTGAGATAGATATAGTGAATAAAATGAGGTATAATAGGGTAAATAGCATGTTATTGTTAAATGAAGCAGGCAGCAATATGGTTAAAAATACAAATTGTTGTCATTTTTTTTTCTTGAAAACTCAGCAGTTATAAAACCAAGTTAAATGCATGTAATTTGTATATTATTTTGGGCTTACTTTACTCATTCATCAAGTGGAATAATACTGCGATATACTGACTGGTAAACAGGCTTGTCCCATCACCACAAAAAAAAAAATATCCCTATACCTATTTTCCTCAGACAATTCTCCACGACATCTGTGGCATAATAGCTAAGGAAATTGGATAAATATTTCTGTTTACATCATCCTGGGTAAGATACCAACATCCCTGTATTAAATAGTAAATAATCTGAAACAGTTTTTCTAAATATGTTGAAAGTATATACGTACGCGAAATGCAAAAACAACCACCTTCAAAATCATTACTTTGTTTTCAACAATCTATCAGTAGTTATTTTGGCCTGAATGGTAGCAAAAATATACATTACCATTATTTTAAAACATTTATCAAACAAACAAAAATATTATTCAAAAGTAAATCCTGTACAAATTAAAAAAAAAATCTTGACTTTAATAGGTCAAAGGTTATTATGATCAAGGAACTCTGATGATAATAATCTGTGTACATAAAATCATATGGTTGAAACATTTCGCGTATCAATAGGAATGATATAAGAATGGTTAAACTAAATCGGTACCATTAAAATGAACGGTATTACAATGAATGGTATTAAAAGCTATAAAATTAAACTACAGGTGGGTAGACTGATTACAAGATTATTGCATATTTTGAAACACATAACTCCCAGTATACATATATATATATATATATATAAAATTTATTATTAAAACTACAGCTCTCTGTTGCTTCTATCGTTTAATCAAATGTACGTAATCTCCATGAAAAAACAAATTTGAAATCAGTCGTCCTTTCAACGTACATTTGATGACTCACATACAATAAGAATGCTGAAACTAAAAACTACAACAGAGTTGGTCTATCATAAAACAAAAAAAAATCACTTGTTTTCCTCTCAAGGTGAAAACTGTATACACGGCATTGTAGTCTCAAAGAAATATATGAGAAGCAGATGTCCAATCAACTGTTGCATCCTTTTTTCTCTCTTTTACCACAAAGCTTGTAGGTATGGGCAGAAAACATTCTTCAATAGTGCCACGAAGAAAACTTGGTTTCACAAAGTTTACATCCAAGCAGATTATAGGGTTCTACATCGCTAGATAAACTACTGACACAGTTGTGAAATATACAGTAACATGTTTTGTAGATTCGCTTTATAGTAAATAGTCCATTGGTTACGCACAAATTCCGTCTTCATCGTAAGAAAAACTATTTACAATTTTAACCTGACTGTGAATTCATAAAAATAAATTTGATTGTTTTTTTAATTCGTTTTGTATGTATGTAACAGATTGGGTGACGCAATCTTATATTCAATCTAACGGCAGCACTGTCCAAACTGTGAAGAGAAAATCCTGCAACGTTTATACAATAGTTCCGTTACATGTTTTACAATATATATATATATTTTTATGTATCTAAAAATCAAGATGAGAGTTATATAATCCATTGTATGTTTCACCATCCAGGCGAGTTGTCTGAAATGAGAAAGAAAAAAAGAAAAAATTGTAAAAGCTAAGACTAAAAAATAATAATTTATAATTCGTACTTATAATAATAATGTAAAATTTTTTTTCCAACACTATACATTTTGATGACTGATTTTACTCTCACATTTCACCATTTGTTAGATAGATCAAAATGTCCATTATTTCACATGTTAATACAACACTACGTGCACCTATTTGTTAATTAATACAACATGCAGTGCTCTGAATTTTGGAAGAGACAACATTTTCCGCAAATTTCAAGTCAAGGATATCCTGAACACTTTGCTACACATAAAGAGAGCGTCATGGTGATTATCACGAAATGTAACCCCCCTGTGAATGCCAATAAAATTATCAAGTCATGAAAATCACAAAATGCATACACTTGACGATTTACGGTATAAAGATTGTGTATGTTATTGGATTGTATTGCAGATGAACCATAGACTTTAATGTGAAGAGTTATTTTGTGCACTTGAGTGTGTGTGTATTAACGGTTTGTATGCCACTGTTACATAGTTACACTGCTAATATTCGTTCAGTATTTTGTGCAGAGATTATGAAATCAGAAAATGGGATGTCACAATAGTCCATAAGAAATGTTATCTTCAGGGGGACACTGACTCTGGCACACCCCATTGGTGCAGACTCTCCTGGCTCCGAAGGTAAAATGTAAAATTGTTGCCACTAAAAAGGATCACGATTGGATAATTTGGTGGATTTTGTGGGTACAGAAATTTACAAACTTGAAAGTAAATGAATTAATACCAGCAAAATGTTCCTCCTGATCCACGAAATTTGCATCTATGTATTAATCAAATGGAGTATGTTCCCCATCAGTCATTATTGTTATAATGGCCATAAAATATTGTTTAAAAAAAAAGCAATTATTATAGCATTTCTCCCATCATGCGCCATATGCATGAAAACCCTGTAAAGCAAGCGCCACCAATGTCAGCTAGATCACTTTGAGCAGAAGCCAGCACACTGATTATGCCTACCTCCAGATGAGTTCTGAGCATAGCCAGGAGGGGTAGCTGGGGCAAAATCTGGCGGTGGTTGATGTAAAATACCAGTATCGTCGTAAATATCAGAGCCTGAGTTGGCCCTTTCCTTGCGTCTTTGCATAATTGCCTGAAGTTCAGCCGAACCATTCAACGAATCCTACACACAAGTACAAAATTAGTAATAACAAACTTACAAATACGTGTTCTATGGGGTGGAGGTGGAGGTAGGGGGTGTTGTCTCTATTTAAGAATATGTATTATATCAAGATTAAGAATGGATAAGACTATGAAGTGCCCATGAAGTTAGTATACCACATTAATTACCACGCCACCTGTTAAAATCAAGTAAAATAGCAGAAAGACTTGAGAAAATAAACAAAAGATGTAAACTGACCTCTAGCCTGGATTTCTGGACCATCAGTTGACTGTACACTCGTGATCCATCCTCATAACACACTTGTTTTAATTCCTCTTTAGTAAGGCTAAACAGTTGTGCACCTGTGAGTACACCAAGACTATCCACCGTCCTTTCAAAAAAAATAAGAGAGTCACATGTGTGTATATACAAACTGCACACAAAAAAGAAAAGCACATGGGTCTTAAATGAGGTCAGTTATTATGTAATGTTGTATAAAAACTTACAGTTTGCTGAATCCTTTAGTCAATAACCAGTTAGTGACCTCATCCGGGTTTGAATCAGGATTAATATTCACAGGTGGAGCTCGTTGTCTGGCTTGGAAATTCCTCTTTGGGCCTTGATTCACACGTCTCTTAAGTTCTTCATGCAAATCATTTGTCGTTTTAGCTGAAAATTTAAAAAATAAAGAAAAAATATGAAAATTGTGGACTTTATGTCACATAATACTATACAATTCAGATGAATGTCCTCTCTCACCAAAAAATCTATAGAGGGTGCTTTTCAACTCATTTATTTCTGAATCATTTACCTCTTTCAATTTCCATGTCTGTCTTCCTCAAGGCTTGCCTGTTCCTGAGTTGATTTTTCAAATCATTCGCATTGTCTTGGTCTGAAATAAAAAGAAATAAGACAAGTTTAATTCTCAGAGATAGATGAACTTAATGTAGCAACATTTCTAAATTTGAATAATATCAGTATTTTCATAACTAATTGTCAATATTGTTGGAGACTGACTGACCTCTTTTGATTGAAGACTGCCTGCTAGTCTTTTTAGACTGGGCATAGTGTGATGTTGGTGGTGGTACTGGAGGCACAGACAATGGTGGAGGAGGAGGTGGTGGAGCAGGATGCTGCTGTGGTAACTGTTGCTGCTGCTGGGGTGGCGGCTGTTTTGGAATCATACTGGAATACATCGAGTCTCTGTTCTGAGTAACTGTGGTCTGCAAGAAAATATATAATATTTACACATATTATCAGTGAGTTATTGTTCACAAGCTTGAGGTGCCTCCTTCAGATCTGATCAATCACTGACTCATTACTACCGTAAAATCTGTATTAGAAGCCGCACCCCTAATAGAAGTTGCACCCATTCTTTTTGAATAGCTGAGAATAAAAAATTCATCATTTCTCATATGTGTAGGTGCTCTAATAGAAGCCGCATCCATCTGTTGCATTGTACCATTTTAATTGAAGCCGCAGCTTCTAATACAGATTTTACAAAAACAAAACCGATGCAGACTCACGCAGACAGACGTGCCTTTTCTTCCACAACTTTTGCTATGATTGTTAAACCTTAGTAAAAACAGAGCTAACATAACTGCTTGAAACATACAGACTAGAGATGCGTGCAACGCAACTGTGTACTGGTAACTAAGCTGAGACTTTCCATTGACTTGTCAGGAATCTCAAAGTAAGTTTTATTTCCAAAACAAAAGCTAAATTATTTTGATGCCATAGCGAGTTGTAAATATAGCTGTCACATACTGTTTTTGTTTACTTATTTGATTGTTCAAGTAAAAAGTAAATAAAAATGTGAAGTACGCTAGAAATCAATAAATACCTGATTGATTGCTCTTTGTTGTAGATGATGGTGATAGACGGGTTCCTGGTTGTTGCCAGTAGCCATCGTTAATGGCGGTGGTGGTGGAGACTGTGGTGGTGGCGAGGGAATCCTACTACTTGCTGCAGTGTTGGCATGTGTTGGGTCCAATATGGTAGATGGCACAAAACCAGTCTGTCCCGATGAATTGCGCACACACCACCACATGCGACTATCATCAACGACCTACAGCAAAAAAAAACAGTGTGAATCAAGAAATCATTGAAGTAACCACAATCCTACAAAGTATGCATATCAGCCGAACAAAAGTACAAAGGTTGATGTGATCCTGTACTGCCTGAGTGCATACTTTGTGGTATTCTCGTGGTAACCTTATCATGTACATCTTTTCCCTCTTTGTAGTAATAGTTTAGGAGAGATAACATATCAAAATCATTCAGCATTTGTCAGACATGTAGAAGCACAACAGCACTTGATTACTACTACCTACTGACTCACACATACTAAGAAAATACACATTTACATGCCATGATATTCTTACCTCCAAAACTTCACCCGCCATGATTGTCAGCTCTTTCTGATTCCGAGCAACAAAGTCATATTTGGCATCGACTACTCTCCCTTCCCTCGGAGACTGTGTTGGGGGACTGTGCTGTTGATATTGCGATGATGGTGGCAGCACAGGTTGGTGTTGATGATACTGAAGGCGACCATTGTCGATTTCAGTTTGTTGTTTGACTCGTGCATGGGCTTCTTTGTTCCTGTAGATTTCAAAACAGAGTAATATTACCTTTAATTTCCTTCTTATAATTACAAGTTTCTGTATGAAATTCTTGGTTAATTCTAACATTTTGAAAAATAAATATCAATTCCTAAGCTATGGCACCACAATCAAACACTTTCTCACTTAGTAGCTAGTCTGACAATTTGCATGGGTCAGCACTTTCAAATACATTCCACACACATTCCAAACTTTCAAAATAAGACAAGTAGACTTGTTTTGAAACGAGACTGATGATGCTATTGGGCACAATGAGATTGAATCATACACAAGAAATCCTGATTACAATATGAATTGATGTCATAAGGTATTTAAAATTGTAACATACCTGTCAACATGTTTAGCCACATTTGCTTTGAAAGCAGCAACACTTGCTGGTTCAGCTGAATGTGGTCCCGGGGTTGGACTTGACGATTGATTACTACGTGTCCTACCATTACCAATGTGACGTGCATAGTAAGTTTCACTGTAATTAGCTCCACTTGGAGGAGGAAACTGGAACACATGCTCCTCACCCTACAGTCAAGAACAGACATTCAATAAGCATCATATGCTAGTCAAAGTTTAGAATATTTTCTGCTAATCTTCCCTGATGTGTCACCCTCATGAGGAGGCTGCAATGGCCACCATAATATTTGTGATGTATTACATCCATCAAATCCAGTAGTTTTGACAAAAAAACAATGAACTCTACTAAGTCGTGTAGAGAATATTCACAACAAATTAAATGGCAACCAGCATAATATTTCTTCTAATAATTATGTATTTCACATGTTATACTTTCTTCTCAGGAATAGTACAGATACATCAGTTTTTATATATAAACAATATTCCATATTAAAATGATAATATTCAGTATCCCTAAATTTGGTGAATATTTCATAATTTACTAAAAGTTCAATAGTCTCAGCTGCTGTTCACATGTGTTAGTTATGTACATCAGTCTAGTTGTAGAGCCTTGTGAATGGCATATGTGAATAAGCATGTCATAGAAAAATGTAACACACCAACCTCCTTTTGTGCTCTCCTGACTTCCTCGGCTCTAGCAATGGCGGCAGCATTGGCAGCTACAGCAGCAGATATCTCTTCACGAGCCGAGTCTATATGTGAACTATGCACCACTGGGGGCTCCCAGCCATCTCGAAATTTTGGTACATATTGTGCAACATAATGATCTTTTGGCCAGGCGGCTCTGTGAACAAAATAATAAATTAAGGTAATGACCTACTTTCAAAGGTGAAGTTATAGTGGGACATCAGATAAAGTGTATGATGAGGTACAGATGTCATAAATTCACTATGAATTATTCAAAATAAAGTACATGAACTAACACACATTAGGGCTGCACCATTACTACCACGGGGAGGGGGTAACTAAGGTAAAATCAGGAAAAATAAATCTGCAAAGCTGGAAAAAATAATCTGCATACAGGAAGGTGAGGATCTATAATTCCTGCAGAGTGAAAAACTCACATTACCCCTAAACAAAATCAACTTGAAAAGTGTTAGCCCTTAATATCATGACCTTGACTTACTTTGGAGTCGTCCATGCAGTTCCAAGCGATACCCACAGTTCACCTTCTCTGGATGTGAGGCAATTTCGTAACAATTCCACTGCCTGAACTGTAAGTAAAGGTGAAAGGACACTTCTGGCTAACTCTGGTCCATTACAACTCTGTACAATTAGTTCCAATGGAGTAAACATAAAGTGTACCAGCTCTGGAGAGTTTGGATCATGGATGTGTGCTTTCAGCTTGGCCTGTAACAAAACAAAGAAATCAGTTGAAGGATGCTATTTATTTGAAATCGATGAATATCTAACCTAGATCTAAAGTAAAACGTTGAGGAGAATGCTAATTTTAAGACGGCATTCAACAAGTTATTATTTTCATAATCCAGACTCAAAATGAAAAGTATCTTAATTACAGAGTTACAGGTTGTCCCCAAGAACGACTACCTGTAGAACTGGATAAAATGTGTTATTTAACCCTTAACCTTCAAGTTGTATGTACTTTTCTATTGACTTGACCAGATAAGAGTTAAATATTTTTCAATCATTTACTTCTATGCTATCGAAAAAGAACCATTGCTTGAAACGTCTAACTATTTTTAATAGTTACTTAGGACAACGATTACCAAATACTATCTACTATATATCAACTTATATTGAGATATGCTTTGAATAGAGAATTTTTTTTTAAGCAGTCTCTTTTTTCAAATAGTGGTCATTGTTTTTAATTTGTATAAATGAACACTTAATGCAGCAAATGAACATAGCTTGGTCACATGACCTAAACTTAGTATGCTAGCTATATATGAATTCAAACTAGAATTAACCTTCTAGCTGTCTAGGTAATGGCTACGAATGCATAGCAAGCTGCCTAGGTGCTGTTTATATGTACATAGGCAGCTATCTAGGTGCTGTTTAATTGTGCACAGCCTGTAATATAGTACCCTATATATTATTATCAAACCAGTAGCCAATTATTGGTATAAAATATTGAGCATCAGTAACAAGCTGGGCTATAAATTGCCCTCCAATCAAAATTCATGTTATAAATCAGCCTCCAATCAAAATTCAGGTTATAAATCAGCCTCCAATCAAAATTCATGTTATAAATCAGCCTCCAATCAAAATTCAGGTTATAAATCAGCCTCCAATCAAAATTCGGGGCTATAGGTCATAAATGTAGGTTGATTATCTAGAGATAAGAAATAGCAAATGTCCAGTGACACATTATAAAACAACCTTTTTGCACTATCCCAGTGAAACTGGATATGTGTTCACTGGTTGAGCTATGCTGAATGCCTAACTATCAAATGTACACGCTATTCAATAAGGTTCGGAATAAATTACTTTCCTACCAATGCAGGAATTGAAGAGAGATACAGCTATTACTTTATTTCTCTTTTTATTTTAATAACAGAAAAAGATGCCATGCAACTATCAAAATTATTATTAGTAATATTAAGTGGGGTTAGTTCAATTAAATATTTCAATGACCCCCTAACTCAACTTTGGATAGAATGTGGCACACATCATTAAACACAGAGATGACAAAAGACTTGGGAACGCTACAATGATTTTGGTTGGTATGAGATATGCCACATAAAATGACATTTGAATGGCAAGTCACAAGATAAAATCAATTACATTCCATCAGATTTGAGTGCTACTGACATGCAAGTACATGTGACAGAAGAGTGGTATACTGGAGGTAACTTAATGAATTGTTGTAAACCAAGTACAGCAGGTAGAACTGTTTTTCAAACCACAGCTACAAATACAGATGATACTGCCTCCTTTTCTTTATGATGTTTCACAATAAAAACAAACGTAAAAAATAATGCTTGTTGTCTCATAAAACTGTCTTGTCTCAAATGATCATCAACAGGCGCCACCTGATCATTTAGTCATTCACTACAAAGTTATTTTCTCTGACCACTGCCTTTTTGGATCAACAGTAAACTTATTTAAAGGAAATCCTGACTGAACCAAATACCTGTCTAAAAACGTTTTCCAAATACACAGACATGAACACAAATAACAGACCTTCATAAATCGAAAAACAAACAATTTTAATATTTCATTTGGAGTTTGGTTTAGACACGTTCTAGTAATTATATAATCTTTAACATCTTTTGCGATTATGACAAGAGTTGATCTACAAGTACATGCATGTTATTCAATTTCATTTTTCAATCCCTACAAAAACAAAATAAATAATAAAGCGTCACTTACCAGTAAATTGAATGCATATTTAATTTTTTGGAACACGTCAACATATTCATCCTCTGAAGGAGGTCGGGATCTCGCTTGTAATACACCATCACCAGGTTGTTTAATCTTGTTCTTTCGAGTCTTTCGCCGCTTTGATAGCTCATTAAAAGCATCAGCAGCTTTCTGGAGTTTAGCTACGAAGGCCTCAACGTCACTAAAGCAATGGTTCAGTATCTCCTGGAGGGAAAGAAACAGTAATAAAGTTATCAGTTACGCTCTAAGGTAAGAATAATACTTTTTTTTTTTTTGAGTTGTGATAAATGCTATTCTGGTACAAGTCAAGCGACAACTTACCACATCACGTTCCGTTCTCATTGCTAACATCTCAACAGAGTCTTCATCATGAGGACCCCTTGGACTCACCGACATTTGCCGTACAAGACCAGATGCACGCATTGGATTCCCCTGAGAATTGCCATTAACTGCAACAAGAGAAGAGAAATGTCAAGAGACTGGGCTTAATATGAATCCACAAACAAACTCAGGGTGGCTCCAACATACTTTCAGCCACAGTCAGAGCGACAATCAATTACAAATTTTCAATAAAACCTTGTTAAATTAACGAGAAAAACTTTTGCTGGTACCAGCAATTCACAGCTTTTCTGTCAAACAACAAACTACTTCATTTTTAGTGAAGCCAATATACTACATTCATATATATCGTAATTACTCTATTAGAAAAGCATCCCTGATAGAAGCATACATAAGCAAAAAATTGCATTAATTTCATGCTGTAAGATTTAATTGACATGGGGAAAAGAGAAAACGATTTGAATTGTGCTGATGTACTCCTTTAAGGAATAGAACAGTTATCATTAAAATCATCTGTCCAAGTCATTGAATCATCAATTTGAAAACTTCCCTACAATGCAACATTTAACCATTTGCAGGCTTTAGTGTCAGTGATATATCTTTGTTAAAGTATGTCATTAAATCAACCAATAGTGGTTCAACTTCGCCATGCTGTAATCTCTAAAAAAAAAACTGTCAAACAATTCAATATTTGAGATATAATAATTAAATATTAAACGTGACAAAGTTCTCGTGTTAGCCAGTTTTTACTGAAAATGTCCCTGACACAATCTGACCATGACAAGTTCATTCCTAGATAATCACATTTTTATCATTTAGCAGGTTAGCAACAACTGACTGCAAAGCAAACACCGGTATCTAAAGGAGTCAGAATGTCTACTCTGTGGCACACATTCAACGTGAGCAGGGGGAAAAGGGCAGTGATATTGCGCAATTATTCCAGATATAGAGTAACAAATTAAAACATGTCAGGCAGGAGGGGAAAAACTAATCAATTTAACTTTGTTCTGACACTACTGAGCATTCAAATTATGTAAACTATACACACACATACACATATCAATCTGTCAATCTCAATAACGACATATTCATCAAGCTAACCTTTCTGTGCCTGGGCTTGTGCCTGGGAGTACATTAATACTTTACTGCGTACGTTACCGGACTCATCTGGTGGACTAGGAGCTGGCTCATTGGGAGGGGGTGGAATCATCATCTCTTCACGTCTCGTATGCGAGGCCTGTCTCATGTTTGGTTGATACGATTGGTGGTTCGATACAACGGCAGGGACTGGTCTGCCATATTGCGGTTTCTTTCTCTTTTGCTTATTTTTACCCGTTGCATATTCCATCGAGCTCTGTAGTTCAGCAGCAATAACATCAGCCTGCGAATCAAGAGTAGACATATTCTAACAATTACGGGACGAGATTAATCATGCAATCTGATGCTTACAGAACAGGATACATAGTTTAACATTTGAAACTATGACACTGTGACTGTGATTTATCATGACCTGTAGCACTCATCTGAGTTGCAAATGCAAGAAGTTTATAATAATTCATAGTCTGCTTCAGTCTACAGTATAAAGTATAAAATAACAATACAATGTATTAATAAATATTAAAACAGTTATAATGCCATATAGCCATATTGCATCTTCAAAAACCTAAGGAAATCATTCATTGCAGCACAATTCTGTTCCCAGACTCCTAAAATTTACTGAAAAACTGTCACCCATGTAATCAAAACAATTAACAGTAACAAACCAAGTGCATTTTTTTTTCATTGAAACATTACCATGGAAAGGGATAAATAAGGTTGAATAGATGAGGGATAGTGCAGCTGAAAATGTTACTGGCTTGAAATTGTAACATATACCGTATTTGAACGAGAAGAACTAATGAAATAAAAATGACATTTATAAAGTATTAAAGACCTATTTTGACGGTAGAAACACCTTTGTCATTCATAATCTTGGAAATATTTCTTACAAATGTAGGAAGGCAATAGAGAGGTAGTGGTTTTCATTAACACTTTTTGGTGCTCACTAAAAAAGTCAAGTCTGTGCATGAATTAAAAAATATGCAAAATCTGTATGTTATTTTACAGATACAATGTAAATGTATTTATTGAAACCAACTTTATCTGATTTTCCAGTTCATAAGCCACCCTTGGTAGAGAAAGGTTATTGAAATAATATCAAAACTTACCTGGATATGATCACACTGGAAAAGGTGCATATCCGGTGTTTTCTGTGAGTGATCTTTACAAGAAAACACAAGCACGCTGTTGTAATTACACTCGTTTATCACCGCCGTTGTCATGATGATTGTGTTCAAGGGGAAATTTTCTAACGTTTCCTGAAAATAGGAGAAAACTAGTTACAAAAATATTTTGGTGGAGAATTTTATGACAAAAGCTGGAAAAAATGATATTTGTTGACAGTTCATCTGCAACTAAACCTATATGTTAAATGCAAAACACATCAGAAACAACTGTTACTGGTTCTGTTCTTTTCAAATATATATAAATTGAGTGACAATCTTAAATAATTCACTCTGAGTTAGTTTTTCAGTGTTCCCAATTATAACTGGTCTCTACATGCACTATTGGAAATGCTGTCAATGAACACATACACATGTACTTTAACTAGTGATTCAGAAAAG